CAAGGATCGAAATGCACCAATCAGAGCTGTTGAAAAACAACTAATCACAGCAGAACGTCGTGCCTTATAAGATCACGCATGACCAGTCGACCTCATCACCTGAAGAAGACTAGCAGTATGCAGTCGAAACGTCGCGATCTACATCACACGTGACTACGTCGTGAGACAAACGAAAAACTTAGCTCTTATTATTTATGTTCTGATATGCTTCACCTCGATGAATAACCGCAACCTTTTCTACGAAATATTAGAACATGTTGTCAAACACTTGGGAAGATGGCTGTTATGCCATAAATGCAAGAATTTTAGACCTTGAGTTGAAAAAGGTTGGCACTCTCAGTTTCTTTATCAGATGTTCTAACAAAAAAATTAATCTTACATTACATGATATTATTTTTATCAACATTAAGGAAAAAAATTTATTATCTCTTTATCTTTTTTGATACAATTGTACTATTAATAGTACAATTGTATCATATAGGCTGAATAACTAGCAAACCAAAACATTACTTTACACCTGGAAATAAGAGAACAAATATGACAGGAATCAAATCAAATTAATTATGTAAGTTTAGGAATTACAAAACAAACAAATCATGAAGTGGTTATGCATCGATCTATTCGAAGTTTCAACATCCCCTCCCCCCTGTCCCTGAGCAATTCCACGGGCAAACCCTTTGCATCTAAATTAACCTCAGAAGAAACAGCCATCCGCTTTACCTCAGATATATATATATATATAACTTCATTGTAAATATTTGATACAGCTATCAACACTGTCTATACAGGTGCAGCTATCGACCCTGTCTACACTGTATAAAGCTATCTTTTGTCTATCTAGGATACAGACATTCATCTGCAGTATCTACACTAACAACCTACAGCTATTTATTCTGATATCTACAGATGATACAATCATGTACCAACACTATTTATTTATTTCTTAAGCTATTTATTTATTGCAATTCGTGGCATATACAATGCAAAATAACCAAACTAAAATAATTATTAATGATAAATAGTACAGCCGATGGATAATCCGTAGAGAAGTCATAGACCCCATACAAAGACAAGTAAACTATTTAGTAAAAGATAAAACTTTGAATAATTAGATGAAAAGATGAAATACTCCTCAAAAAACTCTGAGTCAGAATTTAAATCAAATGTAAATCTATGATTTAAAAATATCTTTAGATTACCCAATAAATCAGATTACAAAAAAGTACTCTCAAGTAAAAGTACTCTTTCCAGTTTTTCAATATTCCTTTTAGTGTACGGTGACCACACCACGGAACCATAGTCGAGGTTAAAACGGATCAGGGTGCAATATAAAGTTTTCAGGGTCCTTGAATCATCCAAACTTCTACTGGTTCTTTTAATTAGACCAAGCATTCTATTAGCCTCAGCAACCACAATGCCAACATAGGAGTTCCATGAGAGGTGCTCATTGGTAACAACTCCCAAATCTTTGAATTCCTTGACTTCATCCAGTCTAAAATTATTCAAAGTAAAGCTTGAAATACAGGGATGTTTTTTCTTAGTTAATGTCATAATTTTGCATTTATGTACATTCAAATTCATGCAATTTCGAACACTCCACTGAAAAAAGCTGTCCTAATCCTCTTGAAACAAATCCTGATCATCCGCAGCATCAATGATCCTAGAGCACTTGCAGTCATCTGCATGAAGAGCAATAGTGTTGCCCGGGAGAACGACTTCGGGTAAATCACTTATAAAAATGACAAAGAATAAGGGCCCCAACAAGGAGAACCCTATGAGACTCCAGATGTAACTTCAGCCCAGGAAGAGGAGACTCCATCCAGCACCACTCTTTGTTGACGGTTGCTTTAATAACTTTCACACCGGTGCAGGAGTGATCCAGAGATTCCAAAACTGCAGAGCTTTTGTAATAAAAGTTGATGACTCACACTTTCAAAAGCCCTGGAGAAATCAAAGAATGTTACGTCTATTTGACACCTTTCGTCAAGGACCGCAGCCCGCTGGTGCTGGGTAAGAACCAGCTGTGTTTCACACGATCTGCCTTTGACAAATCCATGTTGCCACTCAGTTAAATAGCGAGAAATATGCTTGTAGACAGCAGTATGTACTATCTGCTCCAAACACTCTGCTGTAATGGGCAACAATGAGATTAAACTGTTCTTTTTTACAAGTTCCTTGCTGTCACTCTGGTGAACTGGGGTGATATTAGCTGATTTCCATAAATCAGGCACTTTTACAGACTTTAGAGACAAGTTGAAGAGGTAAGCTAAGGGAATGGATAGTTCCTTAGCACACAAACATAGGATTGGTGCTGGTAAATTATCCACATCATGGGACTTGTTTGTGTTAATCTTGCTTAAAAATTCCTTGTGCCTCCGACGCAGAAGTTTTGATGCCAAATAACAAATTAGGATCAACGACATTTGTAGTTAACAGTTTGCTGTCCACTTAATAGATAGATAGATTGAACAAACTTATTAAGAAACTCCACCTCGGATGTTAAGTCAGTAGATCGAGTATCGCCATAGGGTTTCAGGTATTCTTTTAGTATTTTATTTAACCGAATAAAAGGACCAGAAGTACTTAAGGCTGTCTTGAAGTTTTCCAGACAGAGACTTAAGGTACTGATGATAACTTGAGTTAATAACTTTCTTTGTCCGTTTCCTAAGATTCTTAAATTTGGAATATAGAACATCAGATCCATTGGTTTTCAGTGTATAGTATACAGCAGGTACAGCTATCTGCAACTCTAAAGTAGATAGAGCCATCTAGGTGCAGAGTTCTCGGGAAAATATTTAAATTTCCCGCATATTTAAAAGAATTAAACAGTTGCTTAACATGCCCAAAAACATAATGAGCCGGAAAATGCCGATCAAGTTCTAACCAAAAAGTAAGATTATTGTGCAAAACAAAACAGCCTTAGCAAATACCTTATGCCTCGCCTTTCAGATATTTCTGTGTACAGCGGAGTGTGTTGACATTGAACATTCGCAATTTTTGTACTAAGGAGCCTCTTAAACCATTCTCATTATATTCAAGTTTTTTTCCCTTGACAGCTTCCTGGCCGCCACTTAAAATTATCTAGTTCCTCTGGACAGAGATCTTTGGCCTGCGAGTAGCGAAGAAGATCTGGAGCAAGATGTCTTTTCGCAAAATGAGGGATGGAGGTTAAAAAAACTGGAAAGGTCACCAACAAGACGATCGAAAACTTGTTTTCACCTTCTTCGCGCCATCCAAATTGTTAAACTGTGCTGACGATTCCATAGATCAACGAAAGCTTGGAATAGAAAAAAAGAAGTAAAAGAGACTCAAGATCTCAACCGAATCGTCCATTTTTATCTGTAAAGAGTGTCGCACTTATTTCCTCTTACCGTATCCCTGAATCAAACAATAAAGTCATAAGGAAGACGGAAATTATCACCAGGTTAAGAGGATGCTGATTTTTGAGCATATTCTTCAGTACCAGAGTAAATGCATAGAAAACACCATGGAATAAGCATACTTAATGTCTGGTGGTAAAAGATTGAGAGTAAAAATTGGCTTTGTGAAGTCAGATCAGAAATCACCATATTTCATCAACAAAACTCATGAGATATTCATACTTTTCACATAATGCAAAGAGATGTTTAAAACTCTCTCAATGGACATCAATATATCAAGGATATATATCCATTACGCATAAAGCTCGATCGGTGATTGGCTCTCCGCGAGCTACACTTTTCAATGAAATTGCTGCACGTCTCAGTAATTGTCAAAGATGTTTTGTTTTAGTTTTTTTTTTTACGTCACGTGATTCCATGTAGTCAATGCTAGAGGGCCTATTTGCTCTTCACATGTTAAGTCATCCCCTTGAAAATACAGAGAGAAAACGAAGATGGCACATTTCTACATTTAACTTCCCTTTTAGAGTGCGAGGCGACGTAAGTTGCGGAGTTAAATTTTATTGTTTGACCAAATAGAATCTACGTTTGCCTTGTGTCTGTTCTGTGATGAACCATCACAGATGACGTCAAAATGGGGTCCTCAAAAAAAAGTGGCACGTAGTGCGTCGTTGATGATGGTGACGTCATCTATGCGTACGTCCTCCGATTGATGGACAATAGGTAAGAACCAGTCAAAATGCGTTCATAATTCACCAAATAACAGCCAATAGAAGATTATAGCTGCTATTCAAAAGCCTTAATTAGCGAAAAGAAAAAAAAAAGGAAAGGTTTCGGCTGCTAACCCCTACCTCGACCTTGATTATTCTGAATATCTCAAAACCTCATCCAATAATTGTTCATAAAACCCACTGTAAACTATCGCTTATCAACAGTATTGAATTAACACGCGTGGAAACCTTCAAAATTCGGAGTGTCCATTTCGTTTTCTCTTTGAGGATTTTCGTCTTTGCTCACGTTAGAATTACGTCAATTATAGCGCTTGGCATGTTTACAAACCTTTCTTTGGCTCTTCTGTTGCTATTTGCCGACTCGCTAGTTCCGAAATTTCACGAGAAAAAGCTAGAAAGAAGTCCGGGAAATGGTCAGACATAGTACAATTTGGCAGATGACATAACAGCTTTACCCTCTAGATCTTTGTTCTCTACCCTGATAGTGCACGCTCTTTCAACCAATGACAGCGCACGTTATATCCGAACTTCACCATAAAATATCTTCACGATTCAGCAAACAGAATAGATCAACTCATAAGTAAAGTGATACCTCTATTTAACCCTACATTCTCCCAAATTTGTAACATGTACAGCAGTTAAAGGGGAGAATTTTTGACCAGATCTTTGAACTCGAAGAATTTAAAAAAGCAAACGCTACTTACAAATGAGAATGGGTGCATGGATTTTTACCTTCTTTATTCTTTGTAAATAAGTTGACTACTTCGCAGTTTTACAAGAAATATAATTTACGGCTATAGATATAGTTTGCATTAAAATACATCTTTTCATTTATTATACATAATGGCGACGCACAGATATCCATTGCTCCTAAGCTGAAAAAAGAAAAAGCCAAATCGTTTTCTCACAATTACTAAGATGATTACAGTCTTCTTTATTTTCCTCCCTCCATTGAAAAAAATAGGTAATAAAGAGAGAGGGCTATCGAAAATAAAGCTGCAAGATTACAGCTGGTCAACTCCCAGATCCATCAAAGTGCACGATTTTACATCATCACCTGATGTACGGCGGTTTCTTAAAAACTTTTCCTGCCCCTTCTTTCTCCTCTACTTCTTTCTCAGATCCAGCAACAATCTCTTTAGGTCAGCAAGTTGATCCTGAAAATTAT